AATCCGTGGTACCAAAAAAAAAGAAAGTTTCTGTTTCTTCATATTCCTTTTTGTACTATGTACATACTATTTAAAAAGAAACAGTGAAGAAAAGATATGATGCCAGACCACTGCTAACCATTTGGGAAAAAATAGAGCTCCTTGTCTTTCACAATGGTACTTCAAAACAATGCCAGGTGGCTCACTAACTTAATTATTTTAAGATGAAAGTACTTCAAGAAAATAAGGGTAAAGTCTTTTATAGTGGGATAAGAAAGGTGTATAATGCTGGTAACAAAAAAAAAAAAAAAACAGTACACTAATAAAAAATGAGGGGCTAAGTATAACTCGGGCAGAATGTTTAGTTTCTGTAAGGCCCTGGGTTTAATCCCCAAAACCACAATAATTACTTTAGTGGATATAGAATGAACAAAATTCACACCAAAAAAATAATTATCATTAGTACAACATATGAAAAGATGTTTACTTTCATTAAATAAATATATGAAAGCAATTAAGATTATTTTTTCTTAGAATAATTGCTGATGTTGTAGGCATAGAAGCATTTTTGGTAAGAGTATAGAATGATCTAACTTTAAAAAAAGGAATTGGGCAATAAGGGTCCAAGTTTTTACTGTACATAACCTCTGTAGCAACCCTACTTTGGGGGATTTATACAGAAAGGAAGGCTAGTTTGAGAAGCTTTTTTTTTTTTTTTTAAGAGGTGTGTTAAAATAATAAAAGGCTAGATCCAGTGGTGTGTGCCTGTAATTCCAGTAGCTCGAGAGACAGGCAGGAGGATTGCAAGTTCAAAGCCAACCTCAGCAGTTTAGCAAACCCTTAAACAACTTAGGAAGACCCTGTCTCAAAATTTTAAAAAATTAAAAGGACTGGAGATGGGGTTTTTACTTTTGGGTTCAATCCCTGGTACAAGAAGGAAAAAAAATAGGGAAAAACACTGTTCATCAATGTTCATCTTCATCACATGAAGCCCTTTAATGGTTTTGTTTAGCTATATTCATATAAATTGAAATATCGCCACAGGAAAGATCTTGAAGACATTAAGCTAAACTATCAAGCTGTAGAAATATATATATGATCATACAAAGGGGCAGTGTATCTTAGTATTTATGTGTTCAAACTTGGCCTGATAAGCACCTGTTCCAGAGGATGGGTTAGTGGTAGGAATAGAGGTGCAGCCAGCTCTCCTTTCCCAATGTCTACATGAGATAGGAACATGGGAGTACCTACAAACCCTGGGACCCTCACAAAAAAGAATCTGAAATGTCAAGGCAGCACCTGAGTGGTAGTGAGAGAATCTAAAACTGCAGTGGGTCTTGCTTGGGGTTCTAGGTACAGAGGAAGAAGTGTTGGCTAATGATCTGACCATCAGAAATAATGACAGTCAATTTGGAAGACTGATCAACTATGGACTAGCTGCTATAAGCTTTTCCTTCAATCTTTTGAAAAAGTTATGATGTCTTTGCAATATGTCACTCTTCTTGATATATGGAGGATTTGGCAATGTGTAAGAAAAATACAATTTGAAAAACTAGTTTTCAGGCTGGAAGTATGCTTAATGGAAGGGCACAGTGGAAGGGCATTTGCTAAGCATGTGTGAGGTCCTAGGTTCAATTCCCAACACTACAAAAAACATCACCAAAAATCTTTATAATCTTTGTTCACTAGAAAGAAACACTTATCTTCTGGAAGTCACTTTTGGAAATGCAATTTTTTTCATCATTTCTTGGACTTACTCAGGCCCATGTTGGAGGGGAGGGCAAAACGTAGCTGAGGGAGGAATATGGTTCCTGCTAGAACGTACATGTTAGAACCATTTACCATTGTGTTAACACTCCTGTGTATAAAGTGATTAAATTTGGGCCCCTTCATTAAAATATCTAGCATCTTTTTAAAAAAATATTTATTTAGTTGATGAACATACAGTATCTTTTTTTTTTTTTTTAAAGAGAGAGTGAGAGAGGAGAGAGAGAGAGAGAGAATTTTTAATATTTATTTTTTTTTTTTTAGTTCTCGGCGGACACAACATCCCTGCTGGTATGTGGTGCTGAGGATCGAACCCGGGCCGCACGCATGCCAGGCGAGCGCGCTACCGCTGAGCCACATCTCCAGCCCAACATACAGTATCTTTACTTATTTTTATGTTGTGCTGAAGATTGAACCCAGTGCCTCACACATGCAAGGCAAGCACTTTTCTACTGAGTTACAGCCTCAGCCACAAAACATCTAGCATTTTTACATTTTTGGAAGTAGATGTGAAATAGTGTCAATATTTTCAATTTTCTTAGATTGTCTAATGGGCTAAACCACTCTGAAAAATAACATTAATCAAGTGGGGAAAAAGGCACACTCATACATTGCTGGTGGGACTACAAATGGGTGCAACCCTAACAGAAAGCAGTATGGAGATTCCTTAGAAAACTTGGAATGGAACTACCATTTGACCCAGCTATTCTACTCCTCAGTCTATACCCAAAGAAATTAAAATCAACATACTATGGTAACAGCCACATTAAAGTTCATAGCAGCACAATTCACAATAATAACTAAACTGGAACCAATCTAGATGCCCTTCAGTAGATGAATGGATGAAGAAACTGTTGCACATATACATAATGGAATATTACTCAGCACTAAGAGAATAAAATTATGGCATTTGCAGGTAAATGGATGGAATTGGAGAATATCATACTAAGCAAAGTAAGCCAATCCCAAAAAAATCAAAGCCCAAATGTTCTCTGATATGTACATGCTGATCCATATGGGGGAGAACATGGAAAAAATAGAGAAACTTTGGGCAAAGGGGAGGGATGGTGGGAAGGGGAAATGAGGGCAGGAAAGATGATGGAATGAGATATCATTACCCTAGGTATGACTGCACATATGGTGTGACGCTATGCTACAGCTACATCCTGTACAACAAAAGAAATGCAAAGCTGTGCTACAATTGTGTACAATGAATCAAAAATGCATTTGCTATTGTACATACCTAATTAAAATAAATATAAATAAAATAAATACATCTATCATTGCTTTTCACTGAGTAAATAGAAGGGAGAAGGAAATTATGCATTTATTTAGCATTACTGTTTATAGTGTATATTAAAAAAAGTATGTTCTATTTTCATGTGATAGAATATATTTTTGTATGCTTTTTGGTTAAATTTATAAGGAAGACTTTTTATTTTCTGGTACTGGGGAGAGAATTCAGGGGCACTCAACCACTGCGCCACATCACCAGCCCTATTGTATTTTATTTAGAGATAGGGTCTGAGTTGCTTAGTGCCCCACTTTTGCTGAGGCTGGCTTTAAATCCTCTTGTCTCAGCCTCCTGAGCCACTGGGATTACAGGCATGCACCATTATACCCTCCCCAACCCCCCCCTTACCTTTATTCCAAAAAAAAAGCTTACTTAAAAAAATCTTTAACTGGTGATTGATATGGTATGACAACAATCCTGATAAATACCTTTTACCCCACTTAAATGTCTACTTTTAGTAGTTAAATCCCAGAAGAAAATGTTTTTTTTTTTTTTTTTGGTGGAGATGTACTATTGGGTTTGAGTCCAGGGGTGATTTGTGTGTTTATGTGGTGTTGGGGATTAGAACCCAGGGCCTTATGCAAACACGGCAAACACTGTACCAACTGAGGTGTATATCCAGCCCAAGGGGACATTTTACCCCTGTGCTACATCCCCCGCCCCCACTCCTCTATTTTTGGTTAAATTATTGAGGCTGGCCTCTGCCTCAACCTCCCAGTCCAGGGGATTACAGGTGTGTACTGGACCAGAAAATGCTAATTTTAAGAGCATGGTTTTTTTTTTAAGTATGTTTAACTGGAAAAGCACATATTTCCGTTTAAGTTGAGGCAACTATTCTTGACAGAAGGTAGACAAACTATTGTTGCACAATAAAGCCCTATCAGATCCACTGAAGCCAAGACCCCAAATCATAGTTTGTAGTTTTATTAAGCTTCCATGTAAAATAGTTTATATCATTAATGACTCAGGAAATCCCTGATCTCTCCCTATCAGGTTAAAGAAACAAAACACATTAGGTCAGTGATTAGGTTTTTTTAAAATATCAAGGAGTTTTGACTAAGCTCATGTTTGTTTTAAAAAGATTCTGGCCTGAAGTCTCACATGTACATAGAAACTACAGGGTTGTTTTGTTTGTTTGCTTGGTTTTTGTTCCAGGATCAGGTAAAGACAGGGCGGATGATGGCTCAGGGTTAGGACCATTTCTTGGTGACATTGAGATGGTTGAGCTGATCTGCAACAAATCTATGTGGGGGAAACTTGGAAGTGCTGGCCGCCTTGATGGCCTCGAAAGCCTGTGCCCTGCGCGCGCTGGCGTGGCCGTACTCCTGCTCCGCCGTCATGTAGGGCATGCTCAACCAGTAGTGGTTCTCCGCCTCGATCTCCAGGCGACGGATCATGTTCTGCTTCGCCAACAAAGACACTCCCCGCGGCCGCCGGTGCTTCCCGATCAACTGCCTTCCAGGAATGCGATTGCGGCAGAGCAGAGCAGTGAGGAACATGGTGTCTGCTGAGGAAAGGGCACAGAGCTAGAGACACAAGCTGGAGACCGCCGGGCCAGAGGAGAAGAGGGCTCGCAATCCGGGCTCACACGCCACGGGCGATTCTAGTCCTGGCGGCCAAACATGCGCACCCACCCCCGCCCCCGCAACACAGCGACAGGAACCACAGTCTAAAGTGGAGGAAGAGGCCTCTCCCCACACCCATAGAACCCAGCCACTCACCAGGAACCTGGCGCCCCGGCTGCCGCGGCCAGCAAACGCTATATGCAAGCACGTGAGCCTCTCGGGGTCACCCGGGAACTTCTCGTGATACTTCAGCTCTCGCGAGAGAAGACTTTTGCGCCTGCGCGGAAGCAAGGATGTTTCCGGCATTTACAGATTCAAATTAGTGGCGGGTTTGGACGGATCCGGAGCGTAGGTTTATCCGCTGGTGCCTAGGTTCTTGTTCATCTGCCCTCACCATGGACCCGATCCAGAGCTTCTACTGCAAGTTGCGGTATCTGGCCAGCACACTAGACTGCGAGACGGCCCGGCTGCAGCGAGCCCTGGACGGAGAGGAAAGCGGTGAGTGAGGCGGACGGGCCGGGCCAGGTGAGGGTCTCCGCTTTTCAGCCGCTTTGGTGAGTTTCGTCGCAACTCGGACCGGCCCCGGGCGGCGGCCAGAAGGGCACCCGCTACTAAAAATGTACCGACTGACCGAAGAGCTTATTTATTGAGAGTGGCTAGAAGTGCTTGGAGAGTGATACCGGTGCAGATGCTGCATCTATCGAAATGCTCAACGTTTGTCGTTAACATAGCTCTGCGGGATGCAAGTGCCACATTTATGATTTCTTTTTTAATGGACACATAATAATTGAACTATTTATGGGACGTGATTTATTCTTATGCTCCTCAATTGCATAGATGTGTCCGGTTTTAGTTCCATGGATAACCATAGTGCTGTTCTTTTTAAATTATTATTATTTTTTTAGTTGGTGGTGGACCTTTATTTTATTCACTTATTTATATGTGGTGCTGAGAATCAAACCCAGTGCTTCACACATGTGAGGCCAGCACTCTACCACTGAGCCACAACCCCAACCCACTGTAGTGTTCTTCTCAAGTGATGAAAGTAGCTTGTTATTATGTTAGTTACTGTTATTGTGAGAGAGAGAACAGCCCTTATGAATAAAATCCTAAGTTGCCAGGTTGAGCTCATAAATGTACACACATTTATACATGATGTGCCTTCAAGTCATGTTTTGTGCTTATCAGTAAAAGCCATGTAAAAAGTTGATTTCTTTTTTAAAATGCAGCTATTTAGCATTGTTCTTTATACATGTGTAGTGACTTTTGTCTTACCTGTAGTGTCCACGGTTACAATAAACGTCTGTATTTTCCCCAGTAAATTATATTGCCAACACAAACACTAGCACTCAAGACTACTGTTGGTATGTATTACATGTATTATAGAAAACATGAAATTGTGGTAATTAGAGAAAATGATCACAATTTCACCTTTTATGATTACATTGATGAATCATTGAATTGATTGACTTTTTAAAAAAGAATTTATTTTTTAGTTGTAGTTGGACACAGTACCTTTATTTTATTTATTTTTATGTGGTGCTGAGGATCAAACCCAAGGCCTTGCACATGCTAGGTGAGCGCTCTACAGCTGAGCCACAATCCCAGCCCTTGATTTTTAAAAAAATATTTATTATTTTTTTTAGTTGTAGTTGGACACAATACCTCTATTTATTTATTTTTCTGTGGCGCTGAGGAATGAACCCAGTGCAGAGCCACACCCCCAGCCCCAAATTGACTGACTTTTTTTGGTACCTGGGATTGAACCCAGAGGTGTTTAACTACTGAGCCATATTCCCAAACCTTTTTATTATTATTATTATTTTTTAAGAGAGAGAATTTTTTAATATTTATTTTTTTTAGTTTTCGGCAGACACAACATCTTTATTTGTATATGGTGCTGAGGATTGAACCCAGGCTGCACGCATGCCAGGCGAGCGCGCTGCTGCTTGAGCCACATCCCCAGCCCCCTTTTTATTATTTTTCTTTTTTTTTTGAGGCAGTGTCTGGCTAAGTTTATGACCCAACTGAGTTGCTGAGGCTGGCTTTGAACTTGGTATCTTCCTGCCTCAGCCTCCTGAGTCACTGGGATTACAAACATGCACCATCACACCCTACTCAAATTGATTGGCTATTAAATATCTTTGAGATGTCATTTTACATATAATAGAACTTACTATAAAAGAATTAGTTCGGTGATTTTTAGTATTTTCACAGATTTGTGCAACTGTCATAATAAAAAGTTTAAATTTTTGTCACTTCCAAAACAATCCTCCATGCCTCCATTCTTCCCCATAACCATATCCCCACCCACCACACTAGCTTTAGGTAACCATTAATCTATTTTCTGTTTTGGATTTGCTTATTCTGAACATTTCATATAATGGAATCTCATAACATGTAGTCTCTTGTGACTGAAATAGTGGCTTATTTCATTTAGCATAATTTTTCCATGTTTATTCATGTTGTAACGTGTGTCAGTATTTCATTTTATTGCTGAATAATATTCAGTTGTATGGATATACCAGATTTTGTTCATCTGCTCATCAGACTTGGGTTGTTTTTATTTCAAGCTGTTGTAAATAATGCAATTATAAACATGTGTGGGCTGGGGATGTGGCTCAAGCGGTAGCGCACTCACCTTGCATGTGTGTGGCCCGGGTTCGATCCTCAGCACCACATACAAAGATGTTGTGTCTGCCGAAATTAAAAAATTCTCTCTCAAAAAAAAAAAAAACAAACAAAAAAATTATGTGCAAGTTTTTTTATATGAACACATTTTTTTGTTCTTTTGGATATGTATATATCTAGAGGTAGAATTACATGGTAATCCTATATTTAATTTTATGAAGAAAGGCAAATTTGCTTTCCAAAGTAGCTGCACCATTTTCATTTGCATCAGCAGCAATGAGGGTTACAGTTTCTCCACATCCCCACCAATATTTGTTTGTTATTATCTGTCTTTTTGATTGTAGTTATTCTAGTGTGCATGAAGTGGAATCTCATCATGGTTGGGGTTTTTTGGGAATTTTAATTTTTTTTTTTTTTTGAGAAGGGGATTTTGTTATGTTTTATAAGCTAGATTCGAACCTCAAACTCAGCATCCTCCTGACTCAGCCTCAAGAGTATAAGGGTTGACAGGCCTGGGCCACTGCACATTTGCATTTCCCTAATGAAAATTGGGAACTCCTAACAGCTAAAGAAAGAGATCATCAAAGTGAATGTGTTTCAGAAAAGAGAAATAGAGTTCTTTTAAAAACTACTTTTAATCACTATATGACCAACTGATTAATGACAAAAGAGACAGTGCAGTGCAGTGAGTACAGGATATCTTTTTTTTTTTGCAGTGCTGGGTATTGAACCTCATGCATGCTCGGCAAGTCTTCTGTCACTGAGCTACATTCCCAACTCAAAAATGTCTTTTGAGGAAGCAGTGTCAGGTTGATTGGATGGTTATCTACATAGAAGAAAAGAATGAATCTTGATCCTTACTGTATTCTGTACAAAAAAAAAAAAAATTCCAGATGGTTATAACTCTAAATGCAAAAGAAAAAACCATAAAGCTGTTAAAAGAAAACATGAAAAAATATGTATTATCATTGGCAAGGATTTTTAAAGTAGGAAACAAAAAGTATTCATCATAAAGGGAAAATTCGGCAAATAGGACTACTTTAGGATTAAGAAATTATATATGGTGACCCATGTGTTTAATTTCAGCTACTTAGGAGGCTGATGGGAGGATCACAAGTTTAAGGCTAACTTGGCCAAACCTTGCCAATTAGCTTGACCTTTCATAAAATAAAAAGAGGAGGGATATAGCTCAGTGATAGAGTGCTTAACTAATTAGTGTGTGACCCCTTGTTTAATTGACAGCAACCCTGCCCCCCCCACACACATTAAAATTAAGAGAGTGGAAGCCAGGTGTGCTGGTGCATACCTGCAATCCCAGCCACTCAGGAGGAGCAGGAGGATGGCAAATTCAAAACCAGCCTGCAAAAAAGCGAGGTGCTAAGCAACTCAGTGAGACCCTGTCTCTAATAAAAATACAAAATAGGGTTGGGGATGTGGCTCAGTGGTCAAGTGCCCTTGAGTTCAATCCCTAGTACAAAAAAAAAAAAAAAAAAAAAAGGGAATGGAAAGGCAATGTAAAGAGTGGAAGATATTATAATACATGTTTCTGACAGAAGACTTATATCCAAAATGTATAGAGTAGCTGGGCATGGTGGCATGTGCCAGTAATCCCAGTGGCTCGGCAGGCTGATGTAGGAGGACTGTAAGATCAAAGCCAGCCTCGGAATCTAGCGAGGCCCTAAGCAATTTTGGTGAGAGCCAGTCTCAAAATTTAAATAAAAAAAAAAAGGACTGGGGATGTGGCTCAGTGGTTAAGTGCTCCTGTGTTCAATTCCCAGTAACCCCCCCCCCCAAAAAAAAACCCTACAAATTAATAAGAAAAAGGCAGATAATACCATATAAAAATTCAAGCCTTACTTCAAATTATCTTCATATAGTCATTAAGTATATGAAAAAGCATCAAATGTATTAGTCATCAAGGAAATGAAAATTAAATCCCAATATAGTACAATTGCATAGCTATTAGGATAACTAAAATTGAAAAGAGGAAAGTACCAAGTGTTTGTAAAGATGTGTAAAAACTGAAACTGGCATCCACTGCTGTTGGGAGTGTAAATGGTAACAGCAAGTTGGAAAACCATCTGGCATTATGTACTAGAATTAAATATATGTATAACCTGTAATACAGCACATATTCTAGGTCTTTGTTGCCAATATATGCACAATTCTTTACCCCAAAGACATGCTAAGGCTGGATGTGGCTCAGTGGTAGTGCACTTGCCTAGCACGCGCAATCCCAAGCACTGCAATTAACAAACTAAAGAACCATATGATAAATATTTTTTTAAAAAAAGATGTTCTAGAAAAATTCAAAGCAAGAATATTCATAATAGTTTTAACAATAGAATAGATATATTGTAGAGTGGAATATTGTTTAGCAATGAACATGGATGGATTAGATAAGAACAGAGGAATGTCATGTAAAATGTTGAATGAAAAAAGCCAGATGTTGAGAGCCACAGCCAAAGGGGCCCCAGCAAACTTCCAGCTGCCGGCTGATGATTGGCTCACAGTGGCCCCAGCAACATCTAGCTGATTGGCTCCTCTKCGGTSATGTTCATTGGGCTGTTTCCCTGCCCTTCAGACTGCCAGCTGATGATTGGCTCACAGTGGCCCCAGCAACATCTAGCTGATTGGCTCCTCTGCGGTGATGTTCATTGGGCTGTTTCCCTGCCCTTCAGACTACGGAACTGCTCATTGGGGGACTTCTTTGGCTCCGCCCATGCGACCCAGCCAATCGGCCTGAAGAGCAAGAGGATTGTGGGAGGTGGTGTGGTTTGTGTGGTGAGAGGCTTGTGGAACCGGTGGTGGCAGTTGGGCTCTGAGGGTTTTTTCCTGAGGAGCTGTTTTGCTTGGCGTTTGTAGTTTTAAAAATAAAGTTAGTTTCTTTTGACAAGTGGCTCCTGAATTGTGCCCAGCCAGACTGCGGCAGCCAATCACAAAAAAATACATATTATCTGAGTTCATTAAAGAAAGTTCATAAGCAGGTAAAACACTTCATGGTTTTAGAATTCCGAGTAAGGTTTACCCTTGGGGGGAATGCCGCAGTCTGGCTGCAGCAAAGTAAGGGGGAGGGTGACAAGGAACTTGTGGAGATTGATACAGCAGGATCGGGAGCCGCTTTATTGTAGGACAGTAAGGGTATATATACACAACTGAAAACACAGCTCAACATTTCCCCCTTTTGTTTTTAAACAACAAGTATATGGCTTAGGGACCGTGCCTGCCTTAGGTTGTCCAATAGTACATATGGTCCTTACCCGTCATCAGATGAGCTGACCTCAAGGCGACAGCCTCCTGTCTTAGGTTGGTACCATTGCAATTGGATCTTACCCGTCTTTGACTACCGGCCCAACACACTCAGCCACACTTGTGGATAACGACCATAGTGGTTTTTACACAAACACCATAAATAATCTGCTACAAGCAGAAGGGAGGAGAATACAAAATGCCATGATACCAAGCCAATTGATGGCTCCAAGTAAGAAGCCCTTGGAAAAATTGTACCACGGATGACACCATCAGCATAGATACCCCAGTACTACTACCATTCGTTGCATCAACAGATAGTTCACAATGCATATAAGTAACACATAGGTAAATTACAGTCCAGGTAAGTTCACAGTCCAGGTAAGTTCTGCAGGCAGCTAGCTTATGATGATCTGAAGTCTCGGTTTTCACTGGGACGAAGGCAGGAACTCCGGCAATGCTGGCTAAAGAAAATCCTGTAGCATTCCACTAAGCAAACAACCTTGTGAACAATTTAGTGCATTATCTCAATGTTTTTTACATTTGAAATAGGCCTTAATGGTGCTCATTACTCATTAGCCTCCAGGTGGGGAGAACCATTATAGTTATTGACATTGGAAAAGACCAAACTTCAGGGGTGCCAGGTGAGTCCTCTGGGGGAGGCCCCCCCCAAGGGCCGGTCCCAGCCACCGCTTGGAAAGTCCCTGCTGCGCTGTAACCGGCTCGCACACTCAGCAGCCACTGCGCCGCTTCATGTGTCCTCCGGTAACGAAAAGTATTCAGTAGTAGCCTTTTGCAATTCCTTTCTTGATAGTCCTTCCTCCTCTGAACCTTCTTCCTCTTCCTGACTAGAGTTCCTGGGCCCTTATCAACCATGCCCCAACTACTCTTGGTTCCACTGGGGTGCCTCCTTCCCTTAGTAGTTTACTTAACACCCCTTCCATATTTTTGTCACAAAGACAACACAACACACCAAGACAAAACAAGACACAAACATACTGTATCAATCGTCTCCTTTTTCTCAAAATGGCCATTCTTCCTCTCGCCCTATCTGCTTAGAGATGAGCAGATTTGCTCCCGTCTCCCCCCCCCCCGTGTCTCCCCCCCCCGTGTCTCCCCCCCCGTGTCCCCCCCGTGTCCCCCCCCTCCATTTTCTCGAAATGGCCATATTTCCTCTCGCCCTATCTAGGGTCGAGCAGATTTGCTCCTGTCCTATCTTTCCTAAGGACGGGCAGCTTTTTCTCGTCACCCCCCCCCCCGTGTCCCAGGGCTCCCCAGATGGGCCACCATCTGCCGCAGTCTGGCTGCAGCAAAGTAACCGGGGTTGGTGGGGGAGGTGAGTGACAAGGAACTTTGAAGATTGATACAGCAGTAGCGGGAGCCGCTTTATTGTACGACAGTAGGGGTATATATGCACAACTGAAAACACAGCTTAACTTAATTCTTAATTAACATAAACTAGATACAGCAGTCAACCAATAAGGAATCCTCATCATCTTAATTATACACAGCTTAACTTAATTGACATTATCTAGACACAGCAGTCAGTAATTAAGGAATCTCCATCATCTTAATGGCTCGCTGGTGTTACTTCTCAAACCACTCCTCTTGGCAAAGTGCCAGTTGCCATCTTGACTTGTCTGTGTCTCTCAACAGGGGAAGAGAGGGACTAAAAGAGGGCTTGTAAAATTTTAGTAATCCTCTTTCCCTTCCCCTTCTCTTCTTTTCTTATTTATTGAGCTGAGGGCTGGTTATCCAGCTAACAATTTGTGAAGTTCCTCAAGCTATATACTTAAGATTTTTTGTTAAAGCTGTATTATGTTATGGTTCAATAAAGGTTTTAAAGAATAGTCTTTTTTTTTTTTTTTAGCAGTTGACAAGAGATAAATTATAAGTAAATATCTACAAGGATTTTAAGAAACTACATTTAATCTTTTTATTTTTAATTTTTTCTTCCTTATTTTTCTTGTATTTATTGAACTTTTTTTTCTTTCAACATATGTATTGAAGATTTTGATGATTATCCAGTGGGAATTTTACATGATCTTCATTCAGAAGTCCAGACTTTAAAGGTATTAATCCTAGGATATTAATTTGTTGTATTTCTGTGGTAATTTTTTTTTAGCTTAAGTAGAACTTAGAGAAATTGTAATATATTTTCTTTCCTCATGAAAGGATGATGTTAATATTCTTCTTGATAAAGCAAGATTGGAAAGTCAAGAAAACATTGATTTCATAAAGGCAGCAAAAATATTGATGAAAAAAAATTCAACAGATATCATAAAAATAAGAGAGTTTTTCCAGAAGTATGGATATAATCCACGTGTCAAGGAAAGTTCAGGTTTGTTTGACTTTTGTTTTATAGAATATGGCTTAATATTTAAAAAGGCAACATGATAACAACTGTAGGCTTGGCCATAGTTTTTAGTTCTAAGTCTGCTGTTATATGAATATCATTTCATAAACATTTATTCAATACTCATTATGTGCTGGTCAGTGACACAATAGAAAAATGGGTTTTGCTCTCTTTTTCACCATGCTAAATGAGAACCAGCATCATGCTACATGAAAGACCTCTGACCTTAGTAAATGAAGAAGTACAACTTAGAATAATTTCTAGTTGATTCTGCCAATAAATAGCTGAGAAACTTTACAGCATGCTATTTCATTTTTCTGGTTCAGTTTCCTTTTCTATCTAGCGATTTTGGCTATATAAATCAGTAAAGTCCTTTTTTAGTTCTAAAATTCTAATGCAGGGTAGTATAGCATATTGTAGCCAAATTACCTTAGTGCAAATCTTTATTCTGCCACTACTTGCTGTATTATCTTGGCAAATTACTTAACCTTGTGTCTCAGTTTTTCATTTGTAAGGCAGGGGTGCTTTATGAGTTTGCATTGTGTAAAGACTAAATGACATAAAATTTGCTTAGAACAATGCCTGGCCTGTACATCATTCAATTATTAGCTGTTATTGTTCTGCTCATACTTCTAGATGAACAAATGACTAACTTTAATATGCTTCATTGTCTTCATGTCTGTAATAAATAGAATTTAAGATGTTCTGTTCTGCTGTTACCAGAATGTTACCTCTTTGATTCTTTCTCCTAGTTTGTGAGCAAGAACTCACTAACTCTACCCAAGAGATGGCTAAATGTGAGAATTTTGAAAAGCCTGACGTGAAGGATGATATGTTTGATCCTTCTGTTCCAAGCAGTTCCGTTTCTAAGAAGATTCCACGTAGTCCACAACTTTCGGATTTTGGACTTGAGCGATATATGGTATCCCAAGTTTTACCAAACCCTCCACAGGCAGTAAACAACCATAAGGAAGAGCCTGAAATTCAAACTCCACCTACCAGTCAGTCACTAGTTAAAATACTAAAAACTCCAAAATGTGCTCTAAAAATGGATGATTTTGAGTGTGTAACTCTTAATGTAGAACATTTTGGTATCTCTGAACATACTTTCTGTTTAAATGAAGATTATACAATGGGACTTAAAAATGTGAAGAATATTAAAAGGTAAGCAACTTTATTAAAAGGTACATTTTTATTTTATTTCCTAAATATTTTGTATTTATTAATTTTTGTCCTCGATGCAATGTTTCAAACATTTTTCATTTAAAATGAACTACAAACTGTTGGTTTCTTTAGATGAGAGGCTACATAGAAAGAATCATGATACAAGCCTGAAAAAAGATAATTGTGGAAATAGGAAAGCGGAAAAAAATTAAAGGAGTAAAATTAATAAGAGTTTGTGATTGCTTTGGTTAGAGCGGAGGGTCTAGGATAAACCCCAGATTTCTGGTTTATTGCCTTGGGATGATGCTAGGGAAAGCAACTAAGGTAAGAATACCTGCAGCTTGTGGGAAAAGGCAATGTGTGTGCATGTTGATTTTTGAGGTGCCTGTAAATATTTATTTCCTCTTAAATATTTTAATAATAATTTGAGGGCTGGGGATGTGGCTCAAGCGGTAGCGCGCTTGCCTGGCATGCGAGCAGCCCGGGTTCGATCCTCAGCACCACATACCAACAAAGATGTTGTGTCCGCCGAGAATTAATAATAATTTGAAGCTTAATGTGAATTCAGTACTAGATTTAAAAGATCTGAATGTGATTAGTGTGGAAATGCTAATTAAAACCATGTGAGTTACAATGAACACGCCACTGATTAAAATAGCATCAAATACATGAAAAAATGTTCATCATCACAAGCAATTAGAGAAATACAAATCAAAACTCCTCTAAGATTTCATCTCACTCCAGTCACAATGGCAGCTGTTATGCATACAAACAACAATAAATGTTGGCAAGGATGGGGTGGGGTGTACACACTCATACATTGCTGGTAGGACTGCAAATTGGTGCAGCCAACATGGAAAACAGTATAGAGATTTCTTGGAAAATTGGGAATGGAACCACCATTTGATCCAGCTATCCTTCTTCTTGGTCTATACCCAAAGGACTTAAAAACAGCATACTACAGGGACACAGCCACATCAATATTTATTGCAGCACAATTCACAATAGCTAAACTGTGGAACCAACCTAGATGCCTTTCAATAGATGGATAAAAAAATATATGGCATATATATACAATGGAATATTACTCAGCAATAAAAGAGAATAAAATCATGGCATTTGCAGGTAAATGGATGGAGTTAGAGAAGATAATGTTAAGTGAAGTTAGCCAATCCCAAAAAACCAAATGCCGAATGCTTTCTTTGCTATAAGGAGGCTGATTCATAGTGGGATAGGGAGAGGGAGCAAGGGATGAATAGACAAACTCTAGATAGGGCAGAGGGGTTAGAGGGGAAGGGAGTGGGCATGGGGTAATTAATGATGGTGGAATGTGGTGATCTTTATTATCCAAAGTACATGTATGAAGACATGAATTGGTGTGAATATACTTTGTATACAACCAGAGATATGAAAAATTGTGCTCTATATATGAAATAAGAATTGTAATGCATTCTGCTGTCGAATATAAATTAAAAAAAATAGCAAACAGTATCTAAGGACAAAATAATATAAATATATAATAAAGGTATTTTTGAAGTAAAGATTATTCAGTAAATTATTCTGGGATAATTGGTTAAGTGGGAAAAGATCAAGTAATTTTTACCTCATGTCAAAATAAATTATAGATAGATCAAAAGTAAATATTTGCTTAAAAAGTAGAAGTAGCAATTTTATATATTAAACAATCAAAGAAAATACACTTGATCTACCAGTAATTTTAGTCTTGAAAAAAAATGACAAGTTTTTTTTTGAGGGGGAGGTGGGTACCAAGGATTGAACTCAGGGGCACTAGACCTCTGAGCCTCACCCCTAGCCCTATTTTGTATTTTATTTAGAGACAGGGTCTCACCGAGTTGTTTAGCACCTCTCCAGATGCTGAGGCTGGCTTTGAATTTGTAATCCTCTTGCCTCAGCATCCTGAGCTGCTGGGATTACAGGCATGGGCCACCTGTGCCTGGCAACAAATTCTTAATCTGTATCTGTGTAAAGTTCTACTTTATGATTTTGAAGTTATGAAGTATGCAGTTCCTTTATTTGAAGTAATGAGAATTTATAGCTTTCCTTTAAGTCAGAGGTTGTTAACCTCTTTTGAACCATGGGCATGGATGGACGGACGATGGATGGATGGATGGATGGATACTTAAATAGTTTTGTTGTTCATTTTCTTAAAGGGCCAGGCAGGTGGCATATACTTGTAATCCCAGTGAATTAGGAGGGAGTAGGATTGCAAGTTCAAGGCTAGCCTCAGCAATTTAGAAAGACTGTCTCAAAATAAAAAATAGAAAAAGGACTGGGGATGTAGTTCTATGGTCAAATGCCCCAAGTTCATTCCCCAATAGAAGAATAAAAGAGAAAGAAAAATGTTCCATGGGGCATCTTGTCCATAAAAGAGAACTGAACTAGTCCAAATTTATGTTATGTAATAAGAATTAAGTTTTATCCCAGAGGTTTAATGTTAATTTTTTTTTACTTTATAATTTCCCTCTGAACCACACCAGTGAGAAGACCCTAGAAAGAGAACCCATGACCAATAATTTTTCTGGTACCCCTGGCCCCATAATTCAGCAGCTGGAAAAAAGTGGTGAGTGCAAACATCAAGCTTACTTTTACCTACAACTTAAACAGTATTAAAAAGAAATGGTTCTGTCACCTTAGACACTTTATAGTTTTCCATATCTTTTTAATTTGTAATATCGAATTTTATAAAAATACCATCCCATTCAGGGTAAGCATGATTTCATGCAAGAGAAATATAAAATTTTCTGGTGTGTTTTTAGTATTATTTTGGATTATGTTTAGTATTTGTCAGCTTTTTTGTTTCTGATGTTTTAACTTAAGACATATGTATTCTTTCACCAATGTTTTGATGTAGAGCCGTAGTACTTTTTTTTTTTTTTTTTAGTTTAGCTTGAACCTATTGGTTAGAGTTATACATTATCTTTCTTACATAAGTCACACCCAGAATACACCAGCTATCATTTTAAATTTTTTTTAATGGTTCAATAACTTAAAGAAAATATTCATGCAGGTTTGTTTTGTGTGTGTGTGTGTGTGTATACGCGTGTGCTAGAGATTGAACCCAGAAAAACATTGATTTTTTTTTATGAAAATACAAAATAAATCCTAGAGTTTTATGATTTCTCTGAATAATTATTTATTGCTGTCTGATCTATACCAAATTTATTGGTAGAGTTTTAAAATATCTTTATCCGATCTTTCCAAAGTTTTGGACATATTTTCAGAAAAGTTCTTATTGTACTAATTTCACTGACATGTAATTAAATTATGTTATTAAATTAATAAGTACTGTTCGCTTAAACAGGTTTAAAAAATATAACTGACTCATAGTAGCTTATAGCTCACCTTGTAAGAGCATGATTGTATTAAAGAGCTGCTGATTGAAAAAAAAAATTTTTTTGAGCCATCACCTCATATCACGCTCAACTCAATTCCCAATGAAGTATGTAAACATTTTAGAAAATGAACTACTACTGAAAGTGGAATGGATTTATTAAAGAATAGACTGCTTATTAAAATCCTGTAGTAAATCACAGGTAATGTGTTTATTGGGGGAATAGAAAAAAGTAATCTAGTTAAAGGGAACTTTATTAAAGTTATTGTATTTTGGTTTGACCCTGTTTTTATCCCACAAGAGTATCTTTATTACCATTTTCATAGCCCATACTTAATAAAATGCAGTAGTTTATTTATAGCTTACATTGTTTGCTATAGCCCACTCACTTCTTCTGGATTTAGCTGGGTTTTTTGCCTTTTGTGTGTGGTGGTGGGTACTGGGGGTCAAACCTAGGGGGCACCCTTCCACTGAGCTATATCCCCAACACTTTTTGTTTTTTGAGACAAGTTCTCACTAAATTGCTGAGGCTGGCATTGCACTTTCCGTCCTCCTATCTCAGCCTCCTGAGAGTTGCTAGGATTACAGATGTGAACCACCACACCCGGTTTAAACTAACTTTTTTTTTTTTTTTGTACCGGTGTCTGGACTCAGGAGCACTTGACCACTGAGCCACATCCTCAGCCCTGTTTTGTATTTTATTTAGAGACAGGGTCTCACTGATTGCTTAGCACCTTGCTTTTCATAAGGCTGACTTTGCACTTGCAATCCTCCTGCCTCAGCCTCCCCAGCTGCTGGAATTAAAGGCATGTACCACCACTCCTGGCTTAAACTCATTCTTGAATGATAATTTAGTTGGGTAAAGATCATTAGATTGAGAGTTATTTTTCTTCAATATTGTGTTTAATATGCTGCTGAGCATTCTTTCTTTTTCTTTTTTCTTTTTTTAATACTGGGGATTGAATCTAGGGGTGATTTGCCACTGAGCTACATCCCTAGCCCATTTTTTAAGATAGGGTATCACTAAGTTGCTGAGGTTGGCCTCAAACTTGTAGTCCTCCTACCTCAGCCTCCTGAGTTTGTAGGATTACAGGTGTGTACCACCATGCTTAGATTACACTTACATTTTTTAAGTTATTAATAGTAAAGCACATGGGGCTGGGGTTGTGGCTCAGTGGTAGAGTGCTTACCTAGCATACATGAGACACTGGGTTTGATCCTCAGCACCACATAAAAATAAAATAAAGATATTGTGTCCACCTAAAACTAAAAATAAATATTTAAAAAATAATAATAGTAAAGCACATGGGGGGTGTACTTAATGACACAGTGCTCTGAATTCCAATCCCCAGCACCACACACACACACACAAAAGCACAAATTATATTGACAATACTTACCATTTAAAAGTTGAAATCTTGTTTGTTTTCAAATCTTCATTTTCATGAACATTTTGTGTGTCTTCTAGATGTCGAGTGCACAAATTCCCCATTGGCACCTACATTCTGCACTCCTGGTTTGAAAATTCCTTCCACAAAGAACAGCACAGCTGTGGTAAATGCCTATAGAATTGAAAGCTCTAATCTTTCTCCTAATGACTCAGATACTACTTCCAGACTCCAACGGTCTGTTTTTGTTTGTTTTCTAACTCACATAAAACCTAGGTTTTTGTTTTCCTTCCTTAAAGAGAAATAGGATTTTTATTTACTTTTAAATCAGCATTAGGAAGGAATAATTGACATGAAATAAACTACATATATTTGGAGTACAGAATTATATTTTGACACATGTATTCATTTATAAAACTACCAACACAAAAAAGAAAAAGAATATATGCATCATCCCTAAAAGATTCCTTGTGTTCCTTGATAACCCTCTCCTGACTCCCAAGAGGTTCTCATTTCAGTCTACTGTAGAAACTTAGATAAATCAGGAGAGATTACAATGCATTTCTTGAGGGTATTTTACCAGCATAGATCAAGAACTTTAAAAAAAAAAAAATTATACCTTTTAATCATGTGTCAGAATTTGTCCTAAAGCCACCTAGGATAAAGATTCATAACAAGTTATAGGAAGAAATACGAAAAAGGGAAACAATTTAAAATATCAAATGAAAGATAAGAACTCAATAAGGCATCTCCATAAAACCAGATGAAAACAGATTAAAGAGTATTTTCAAGAAATATTTAATCAAAAAAAAAAGAAAGAAATATTTAATCATATGAAAAATTACATGTATGTGTTTATACAACACATTGATGTATACATTTTTAAAAAAAATGAATGAGTAGAAATATAGTTCTCTGGGCAACAGGTTTATGAGTGTTTTAATGGTTTTTTTTTTTTTTCCTCTCCAAATTTTTCTAGGTAACAAATTTATTATAATCAAACCACATCAATTTATTATTTTTGTTTTGTGGTACTGGGGATCAGACCCAGGGCCTCGCGCAGTCTAAGCAGGTGCTCTACCACTGAGCTACATCCCCAGCCCAACCTTATTCTTTTTTTTTTTTTTAAGAGAGAATTTTTTAGTATTTATTTTTCAGTTCACAACATCTTTGTATGTGGTGCTGAGGATTGAACCTGGGCCCGCACGCATGCCAGGCGAGCACGCTACCGCTTGAGCCACATCCCCAGCCCCCCAACCTTATTATTCTTTAGAGTCAGTATGAACACTTTAGACAACCACTACTGTAGTGGGATATCCAACAGAACTAAGTGGAGTGATGGAAATTATAATCTATGATGTTAAATATGGTAGCCACTAATTACATGTAGTTTTGGGGGCTTTAAAATGTGGCTACTGATCTGAGGAACTAATTTTTAATTTCTTAAGACTGTTTAATTTTAGTTAATTTATATTTATTTAGCCCCTGTGACTTAAATATTGGCCAGTGCAGCTGTAGACAAACGCAGTGCTGGGTTATCAGTTGAAGTGTCAGGTTATCTGTCTGCTGGCACTTGCCATTTACAATGAATTTACTTCTCATGTTTCTATTCATGTGGAAGGCACCCTGACCTGAGAATCTTAACTTCTTTTTTTTATTAATAACTCTGGCCCTGGGGAATTTACCCAGGTAGTTAATTTAGCATGAAAACTGCAAGTTGAGCTTCCTTCATATCTGCTTTCTTCTTCTTGGGGGTGAGCCTGTTTGCTAGGGGGTGTGGAAACACTTGCTTATAGTGCTAGGATTCTCATCTGGCCCAGTTTAGTGTTGCCTGAAATGGCAACATTTCATCTAAATCTGGAGTTTAGCCAACATTCCATTTAGTTCTTACGTTGGTTCTTTTATTGGTAACGAAGATGGTATTTTGTCCAGCTTATGCCATTTCTTTGTCGTCTTCGGTTTTGTTTAGAACAGTTATAGAAGAAGAGGGTCATTTGGGGGCTTACTCAGGGGCCCCAACAGAACTATCACTGTTTAATTTTTAAATTACTGCTATAACTCAATGATTTATTTTTATTTTCTAGGTATCCACAAATTATCCATTACCAAAAATAAATAGTTCGTCAAATGATGTGGAAGTTGAAGATTACACTCCACTAGTTTTAAAATCAGATGAGTGCTTTGAGAATTTTATGGATCCCTTTTCTCCTACAATTTCTTCTTACGAGAATCTACTTAGAACACCTACGCCCCCAGAAATAACTGCAATTCCAGAGGATATTCTCCAGGTTATTTTTTAAGACAATTTTTTTTTTTTTTCTGATATTAAAGACTTGAAACTGCATGTAAGCTGTCTTGTCATTTGGCTAATGTGCTGGCGCTTTAGTGTTGACACAATCTAAATTCTAGGCAGATAGGCCCTCCTAAGAACACCTGGTTTCTGAGCTTAGTATAAGCTAGTGACTTCCCATATATTTTAATGAGCTTCCCACATTTTTAGGGATGTTATACCAATGGGGGATGTTTGTCTTTACCTTTGAAATGTATTCTTATCAATATTGTTCAGCTATGATTTCCACATTGACCATTATTCCATTAGAAGTGTTGCAGACAAAGTCAGAAATGTCTTTCACCCTCAATTCTTCAGAGCAGGGTATCATTAATTACATATCAGTTTCTTGAACTTGAGGCTTCTTGGGCATCAGCCTAAGAAACACTGGTTTACATGTAAATATCTGATTCTTGAATGTCAATTTGCCACTAGTCTTACTACTGATTTCTAACTGCCAACTGTACTAAATAACCAGTCTGATTTCTTTGACAATCCTCTTCTTTAACAGAGTGTTTGGCTGGTATTGCTTAGGCACATGAATTTTGTTTGTTTTGGTACCAGGGATTGAACCCAGAGGCACTCAACCACTGAGCCACATCCCCAGCCCTATTTTGTATTTTATTTAGAGACAGGGTCTCACTGAGTTGCTGAGTGCCTCACCATTGCTTAGGCTGGCTTTGAACTCATTATCCTCCTGTCTCAGTCTCCCAAGCCATTGGGATTACAGGCATGTGCCACCGCGCCCGCATGCCCTTTTTATTTTTTATTTTGAGGCAAGGTCTCATTAAGCTGCTGAGCCTGGCTTTGAATTTGCAGTCCTCCTGCCTCAGCCTGCCAAGCCACTGGGATTACAGGCCTGCACCAACATGCCCAGCTGGCACACAGAAGTCTCAGTAACTACTCTAGAAAGGTTCCTGGCTTAAGAAAAGCCATAAGAAGGATAACCACTTGGGAAATTAACTAAATGTCATCAGAATTGAGCTACTTGGGAAAATAACCAAATGTCATCAGAATTGACCCAGGATAAGATATTTAATTATTTCTTATCTTGTCTTTTCTGCTTCTCTGGGCAATACCTACAATAGTTGAATGAGAAATGAGTATAGCATGTTCCCATGGTTCATTCTTCTCAATTCTATTTGAAAGGAACAAAGCCTTGTATTTAATGTCACTTCTTTTTTTAATAATATGTATTTTTTTATTTGTAGATGGACACAATAACTATTTTATTCTTTTGTTTTTATGTGATGCTGAGGACCAAACCCAGTGCCTCAATATACCAGGCAAGCACTCTACCACTAAGCTACAAACCCAACCCCTTTATGTCACTTATTTTTGGGGGACAGGGGGTTTACTGGGGATTCAGCCCAGGGGCATGCGACCACTGAGCCACATCCCCAGCCCTATTTTTATTTAGAGACAGGGTCTCACTGAGTTGCTTAGCACCACACTTTTGCAGAGGCTGGCTTTGAACTTGTGATCCTCCTGCCTCAGCCTCTCATGTCACTGGGATTATAGGCATGCACCACCATGCCCAGCTTTAATGTCACTTCTTTGTGTGGGAAAAGGATGCTGACATTTCAGAGTTTACTTTTATGATCTTTATAACTGATGAGCTTTCTTTTAAACATTGTTTCAGATTTTTCCCTAACAGCTTCAGCTTGTAAAGGCTTACTTGCTCTTACTTGCTCTATCCTCAGTTAATGAGGATAATGCCTTTCAAACCTTTACATCCAGTTAAATTTCTAATATCTCAATGTTTTCATTGCTGTTGAATGTCTGCAGGCATGCTAAATAAGTGTTTTAAATAACCTTTAATTTTCCATGGCTTTTCTTGAATGTTTTCTAACATTTTCTATATTTGTTATGTTATTCATATGACTTGACAGAAAAAAAATTTGCTCGTTTTAGATTTTGTCAAAATGCAACTCAAACGTAGCTACTCCAGTAGCAATGAAGGCAGTGCCACCCGGGAGAGGTTTCCTCAAATACAAAAGACAGAATACCCAAGATGCTGGCGACAAAGAAAACTGGTGAAAGTGAGTATTCTACTGTTCTAAAGAAAATATGTGTTATTTGAGAGGACATTTTAAAACTAACATAGAATGATAGTAAAAATAGTTTACGGGCTGGGATTGAGGCTCGATGACAGAGCGCTTGCCTCACATGTATGAGGCATTGGGTTCAATCCTCAGCACCACATAAAAATAAATAAATAAATAAATAAATAAAATATTGTGTCCAACTACAACTAAAAAAAATTTTTTTTAAATAGTTCAGAATCAACATTTGCTAGTTTAGGCTAATAGCTTGTCTCTACTGTGTGTGTGTATATGTGTGTGTGTGTGTGTGTGTGTATGTGGTGCTGGGGATTGAACCCAGGGCTTTGTGTATGCAAGGCAAGCACTCTACCAATTGAGCTATGTCCCAGCCTATTGTCTTTTTGACATAGAATTTGTGATTCTTGAATCTCAGATTCCCAAATTATCAAGTTTGATAATATCAGTGGGAATCTAATCCCAAACTCTTATAATTATTAAAATATGCATCCACAGTGTTGTGTCATCTATCTTGTTGGAAGCTATTAATGTTTATTTGTATCTTTGTAGAATCTCTAGTGGATCTATCCAATTTAGAAACTGAACAGAATGAGGTAGAAGCAGAGATGGACTCAATTTATTAATTCTTCTCTTTCTTTCCTTTTTAAAAACTGATCAGTATTAAAGAGGAATATGGATATTTGTCATTATATGTTTTTTATGAAATTTTGATTTGGTTTAAGATTAGTCTGATTGATATGTAGTTAGTTCAGTCACTGATGTTAAGTTGCCCCACTTAATCTACCAGAATAGACTAAGTAATAGCAGGGTATAGGACAAGTAATTTTAGAAATGTAAATGCTAGTTTGCTACACATCACCCCTGATCTTCTTATGGCCAGGTGGCTGTTACCATTTTGTCATCTCGTGACTCTCAAAGTCATTTATATCTTTTGTTTAATCAGTGCTCTTTTAAGACTACTGCTATTTGTACATAACAGAAACACAGTTRAAACTTAGAAAAAGACGGAAATTACCAGGTTAGGTAATTGCACTGTCATCAGTGAAGGTGGAAGGAAGTCTTAGTTGAAGTCAGACATTCACTACTGTTACAGTGTTTTTCTTCTCTCTTCTCCCATGTTTTACAGGGTTTTGGTTTCATTCTCTCACATCAGCTCCTTCTATCACATGGCAGCTGATCTTTCAAGCTCTACTCTCCAGCTTGGCCACTCAGCAGATCCTGAACCTCACTCTCTGGAAGGTTCCAACGTCTGGACCTGGGCCCACAGGCCTCCTATGTACCATTGGCTAGGGCCACAGGAGCCTTTAAAACTACCTAGCAGATTCAAACTGCCCCATCCATCAAGCTCAAGATCCATCTGATTAAAAACAGCAAAGAACTTTTCAAATTATAGTCAACAGGAAAGGAGGACCTACCATACTTTGGAGATCAGCTAAAAACTTGAAATTAGTTGACAGTTATGACTAGGTGCTTGAAAGGCTCGGCTTTAAGAAATTCAATATGGTAAAATTGTCTTCTTATAATTGTGTTTTGAAAGTCATGTGAAAGACCTGTGACATTGACGACCTGTGTTAATTTTGTCAGAAAATTGTCACTAAAACCTGATTTATTTCTTGGCCAGGAATTACTATAGTTTTAAGTATGATTTTTGCTAAATATAGTGTAAGTTTTCAACATATTATTTTCAAGGTAAAGTTGCTCTAGTGCACTTTATGTATGCTGATAACTGAAATTTATTATCAGCTTTTCATTCACTGTAACAATCCATAGAACCAGATGAGATTGCTGAAGGAGGAAGCAGTAGAAAGAGAGTAGAAAGAGGCAGAGTGATACAGCATAAGGGGGTTGGGAAAAGTGGTCAATTACTTTAATACTTTACTCAAGTCAAGTAATAAGAGAACTGAGGATTGATCACTAGATTTGGCAAAGTTGATTCAACAACAGTAATTTTGGTGAAGTACTAGTGAGGGAAGTCTGGTGGATCTAAGAGGACAGGGGTGAGGAAATAGACAATGGCTTTAGACTGCTCTTTTGAGGACTTGTTAATGAGGGGAAGAGAAACAGTGCCACTAGAGAGGGATATGGAGCATAAAGACTTTTTAAAAATGAGCAAAAAAAAGATTTAGGCATTTGCCTGTAAGGGAAATGCATTTGTTTTATGATGGCCTTGGGCCTTCAAATTTATTTTGTTCAAAATTTATTTTTTTCTGAATCTTTACTACCTTCCATGATCTTAGCTTGTTACTTAGAATAGTGATGCTTCCAGCTTCAAATGTTGGGATCTTTCAAGCACATGTCTTCACATTACTGTTCAAATGAAATCCAGTATCCTGATTTGACTCCAGCTGATGTCTCCCTCCTGCAGTGTGATACCCTAGCCACACCACCACCATCTTTTGTTTTCCCCACACTTCCTGCATCAGGACCTTGGCAGACACTAGAATTTAGAACCCAGCATTTAGCAGAATCTCAATCCCTTAGCATTGCCAGTCAGTGACGGCAAAGGAGCCTAGAGAAAGTAGAAAAGAGCAGCACAATATCTTTTCTGGAGATAGAGGAACACCTGGAGCTGCTTTTTACTATAGAAACAGCCTGCCAAGCATGGGACCCTACACAAGACCCCTAACAAGAAGAATGAGGTGTGAGGACCCCCATGGTCAACCAAACTAACACCAGCTAGCTCTACCCCTGGACTTTCCAGTGAAATGATCCATAAAAGTCCTTATGATTAAACTAGCTGAACTTTTCTGGTTATTTCAAACTTGTAAGAAAGAGTTCTGAATGATGTGTTTATCAGGTCTCAGATTAAATGTCATTTTATCAAAAACTTTATGTATCCTGCCACTATGAAGGAGTCCCTCCCCTTTTTTTGGTACCAGGGATTAACTCAAGGGCACTGGACCAACCACATCCCCAACCCTGTTTTATTATGTATAGACAGGGTCTCACGGAGTTGCTTAGCACCTTGTATTTGCTAAGGCACTAGGATACAGGCATGCGTCACAGCCCCCAGTTTCTCCCCTTTTATGAAAGTTTTTTTCTTAACACCTGTTTTTGTTTGGCCTTCACATTACTTGGTAGAATCTGTAGTATTTATTTGAATATACATTTATTTAATGTTTTCTGCCCTGCTAAATTACAACCTTTATGAGTCTTAGGACCTTGTTTGCTGTGTTCATTACCCTGGTATCTAGCATGTTTATTGAATGAATTGGTGATAACATTAAACAATTACTGAGTAATAATTGAATTACTATTTAATTCTTAAATTTGAAGCAGGCACTTTACTTTTCAGATGAGGAAATTGATGCTTTAATGATTCACTTTTCTTTCCCATTTCCCACCCAGGTCTTCCTGATAATCTCCAATTTAATCTCAGATGTACCTTAACGCTCTGCCATTACTCCAATTCTCATCCTGATCATCCTAACAGCATTTGGCATTCCTACCTCCTTGTGTTGAACCGACAACAGTACATAAGGTTGCATAACCTCATTTCCTCTTTTGTTCATGCTGTATCCTTATTCTGGAGTATAATTCCCACTTGTCTTTCAGGAGTTGGACAAGCTCAAATGTCATCTCTTGTTATCCTACTTTCAGTAGCAATGTTTCTCATGACACTTTTCTGTCCACCTTTTATTGTTTTTTTTTTTTTTCCTCCCTGCTAGACTAAGTTTTTTTCTGAGGAAAGAAAAATCTGTATCTGATCTGTGTAATTGGTCCACAGCACCTGGTACCTAAGATAGTCATGCTACTGGAAAGACTGAGAGGACAGGGATTAGAGTATTCAGGAGTATTGTAAATTCTCTGCCACTTCCCAATAATTACTATTCAGAATTCAGATTTTAAAAATCCCTAAGGCAGTTCACCTCATTCACAATTTAAATTGCTTTAATTTCATCAAATTCTGTTAAGATTGTCTTAGTTGGTTGTAATTGGGGTAATTTTAACTGTAGAGTTAAAAAGTCTGAACAGCCAAAGGCACAAAGGAAGGGGACAGAAATACTGGAAAGCAGCTGTGACCCAGCAGAAGTAATTCATTTTACTGACCCAGAACTCTCAAAGGCAGAGAGGTTGGAGATGGGGAGGGCGGGCAGCCCTTAAGCAGGTGGGTGCCTGGCTATAGTGGCTGTGAGGTTGATGAAAAACAACTAAAGTTCCTACTGTGGAACCAAAGCAGAATTTCATAGGAACAATGGTTGGAGAGGTGGCTATGAAGGCCCTGATGCCACATATGTCAACTGATGGTCATAAACTTACTGCACAAAAGAGAACATGCACTAACAGGTACAATAAACGCCATGTTGAATGGTCTGTTTCTAATCAATAAAAAACAAAGCAGACAGATGTCATTTGGCTACTCTTCCACTCATTCTGGAAACCCTGGATATCTTAAAGAGAGATTTGTGGTTTGTATAAAAGTCGAATAAAGCGGGTCTATTTATTTTCAATGACTATCTTGGCAGAATTTTATCACTGAAGATAACTCCACTACAAAAACCATGTCAGTGAGTGGAAGACAGACTAAAGAATTAAGGATAAAAGAAACTGTAAAAGAACACTTATTTCTTGAAAAGTTTCAACCAAATTGTTGTTGGCTACCTACTTTGGAGATATTGAAGTAGGCATCAATCTCATTCTAAGATGGAACCCATATGGTCATTGTGTTTCAGTTGTAAGGGTTAAATGAGATAATGCTTGGTTAAAGTTGTTCCCTAAGTATTTGGCACAGCTAAGCACGTAAAATAATTATGACGACAAGCTTGGTTTTAGAGTGTTCCCTTTTTAGTTTCACAAAAACCAAGTTTGGAATTTGTGTTTGATTGAACACAATAGATTGGCTGAGTTTGGCTCTTTATTAAAGAATAACAAGAGTTTAAAATTTTTCCAACGTGGCCTAAGAGTTAATCACTTTTTCTCCCCCCACTCATACTTGCCCTTCACATGCACATGCATGCACACACACACAACTTATCTCTGAAACATTACCTGAGTCAATGAGCATGGGCATAACCATTCCAGTTTTAGACACTAAAAAGACATGGGTAATGTCGCGTACTGTAATTCACACGTTCTAAAGGAAAAATTTCAACTCTGAAAACCTATAAGCAATTGCGGCAGTTAGGAAAGACACTAAAGAACTGAGAAAGATGCTGTAATGGTAACCACTTCTATTTCTGAGAAAATAGTTCAGTTACTACTTAAAACCATACCTTCTTAGCAAAGTCAGGAAAACAAGGGCTAAGCCTTGATTCTTAGTATAGCCAATAACAAACTCACTGCATATTCTTGAACTTTATGCTTTTGGTAGAAAACTGAATTTTTTTAAACATTTTTTAGTTGTAGATGGACACAATATCTTTATTTACTTATTTTTATGTGATGCTAAGGATTGAACCCAGTGCCTCACACTTGCTCCACCACTGAGCCACATCCCTAGCCCCGAAAAGACTGAAATCTTTAAAGGAAAAATTTCATGTTGGAACCAACAAAGAATAGAATTGGGCAAACCAGCTAAACCACTTTATTTTAAAACTAGTGAGAAAATAACATGAATTAACAGGAGAGCCCTTGTAAGATAAGAGATCACACCATATGAAAAAATTGGCTTCTGAAGGTCCTTAATGTGGTTCCCACCCTTTGGATCTAAATAGTAAATCATCCCCCYTTTCATGTCCCASAAACAGGAAGATAATCATGGCTATTCTCCAAAAGGTTAGTAACTCAGGTCCATCTAGYCTGAATGAATATATAAGCTAAGGGTTTGGAGTAAGCTACARCAAARAACCACTAAGATCTAGTCATCTGAAATTCTGGACTCACTGTAACAGGGACACCAATCTGACAGAATCAGATTTTAAATGACTATTTTGTATGCACAAGATAAAACTCACTTTACTGAGACTACTTGCACATTTTTAGCACTTTTATCATTTGGGGATTTCAATTTTCTACTGTCAGACTAAAAATAACTAGGCTTTCTACACATTTTTATCTAGTTCATAAACTTCAAAATGAGAAACAATGCATTAAGATAATTTTCCAGTTTTAACTAAGTTCTTTTTTTTCTGGCTAATAACCAGTATTTATTGTTTCTAATCCACCAACCACTATCCTAGGTCTTTTTTTAACTTTCATAACCCTATAGACTAGTGTCTCCATTGAAAACCACCACCAGCTGCCCCCCCCCACTTGACTCAAGTAATTCATCTAAGGTTGCAGAGCTACTGGTACAATCAGAATTTCAATGCTTTGTACATTGGTCTTAATCACTGTGTTATAATGCCTCTCAAATCATACACTAACCCCCAGCACAGGATGTGTAAGAGGTTCTTTTTTTGTCCCTTTCTCAGTTTTTCAGATCTTAAAGATATTGGCTCCTGCCTTCAAAATGTCCTAGCCTCCATTTTAAAGCATATAAATCCTCACCATAACACTATTCTTTAGCACCCAAACCAAGGCAGGCCATGTCTTCCAACACAATTCCTTCAACTTGCTGAAGCTCATACCATTCCAAAAAGCCTCTGCTGCCTCATTGTCWTAGGTCATTTTTCTAACTGCATACTCTAGTCTACAGCCCAAACTCATGCTAAATTTCATAATCTCAGTATTTTTATTCTTCACCTTTGGGAAGAGCCGCCTGCACTACTTTGTATAAACTTCATAAGAGATGAAACCCTATTCCCATGCCTCCATTGACTTTCACATTCAGACTGATTGTACATATATATTTWACAGTTGTACACATAATGCTAAGAGCACTTTTCTTCATATTTTACAGAGGCGTGAAACATACAGACTTTCTATTAATATCTATACCCATAGTATATCCAAATCTAACTCCTAAATAGATGCATTACAATTTGTTTAGAATTTAAAGGCTTAATGGCAAAAATCAGGGGAGGAAAGAGTATGTAAGTTTATTTTACATAACTGGCTGAAAAATAAATTTGAGAGATAGTAAATGTAATTTAATATGGTCTCATACGCCCTGAAGGAGGCSGTGCTCGATTTGGAGGGGTAATGGCTATGTCCAAATAATCGCCTATCTGGAACTTCTGCGACTGCAAGGTCATGGAATCGTCAGTCCCCTTTCTGCCAGACATGGTGCTGCCAATCTCCTTAACTCTGCAGGAAAAGAAATCAACTGTTACTGGACCATAAATCAATTGAGTATGTGTTACAAAACTGAATATGGGATTGAATTTGCTCTACCTTGTAACAGTTCAAAAATTAAAGTACTAATGTAGCTAAACCAGATATTAAGATAACATAAATACTCTCCCTCCCACAATACTGAAAGGAATTCATTAAAGGAATTATCCCTATCTGTAAAAACATGCCAAAACCGGGGCTGGGTTATGGCTTAGTGGTAGAATGCTTGCTTAGCATGTGTGAGGCATTGGGTTCAATCCTCAGCACCACATAAAAATAAATAAAAGTCTTATCAATAACAAAAAATAGAATTAAAAGTGAGGAATTACTTACCGATAGCCAGGTCTTTTAAGATCCATAAAAACAATTGCAAAATTGAAGTGTGTTCCCTTCTTTCTAGCTTCTGGGTAAACTTCTTTTACTAAACTAGTTAGTTCTTTCAAAGTTGCATCCATCCTGAATTTTTTAAAAAATGACAATTACATATGATTAGTCATCAATAACGGAACAAGGATAATGACAATGAGTTATTACATGTGTCTGAGTTGGGACTTATGGTAGAAAATGCCAGTGTCTTATATTAAAGGTTAATTTTAAAGCAGTTAAAAATACTATTTGCTCTCAAATATTCCCTATACTAGCTCAATGTTGTTTTTGACAAAGTCAAGTCAGACTCTTAAGGCTAGAGATGTAGCTCAGTGGTAGAACATTTGCCTAATACACATAAATAAGTGTATACTAAAAGAGATTTTAAGAGGGTCATATGCTATCTTCTATTGCTATGAAATATCTTATGATTCAGTGATTTACCTCTTTAAAAGCAGCTAGTCCAAATTCAAATACACAAAATAATTGTATTTTGTCATTTCTAAGACATGTACTCTTCCACATTTAGAATCTCAGGAACTGGAAAACATTTTAGAATCAATGTACTAAGAAAGCATTTTAGTAAAAATGTGCGGGTTTTTTTTCCTTCTTGAAAAATCTTAAGCATCTTAGAAATAAAAAACATCCAGTATACATTTTTATATTGTTTTCTTCCATGACAAGTGGGAAAAATGGTTTGGGACATGAAACAATAATGCCAGAAGAATGCTAGAAAATGGCACAAAGACACTGGACAGTTGTGAAGAATGAGTACTATGATGTACAGCACCAAGCAGGGAAATCAAATCAAATAGTTCATTTGATTTTAGCTCTGTACTCTAAAAATCACCACCACACCAAAGCACTGGCTTTCAGCTATACTGATGACCACATCATCTTCCATTTTCTATTGCTCCCGAATTTTTCTCAATATATCTGCATAACAGAACTCAATAGTCTTCTCCCCAAAACACATGCTTTTCTCTGATATTCCTATCAAAAATACTACCACCTGCCAGGCATGATGGTGCTCGTCTGTGATCCTAGCAGCTCAGGAGGCTAGGGCAAGAGAATCTTGAGTTCAAAGCCAGCCTCGGCAACTTAGTGAGGCCCAAGGAACTCAAAGAGACCCTGTCTAAATAAAATACAAAAATGGGCTGGGGATGTGGCTCAGTGATTTTAAGCACCCTGGGTTTAATTCCCAGTACAAAAAAAAAAAAAAAAAAATCACCCATTTAGATGCCAGGTCATCATCCTGAGCCTGTTCAATTCTTCCCACCTCTTTCCTGTTACAGTTCTTTTTCTACCTAAATACAGATCAACATCTAATTTTTCCTCCATCCCTGCCTGTTGCTTAATTTCAACCTCATTATTTAACCTTATATATGCTGCCTCCAACCCATCTGTGTTTTTCAAAGTTTGTTTTTTTCAGACAAGGCCAAACTATTGCAGCCATGCAGGGAGAAGCTGTGCATGACTTTTCCTAACTCGATATGTGCCTATTGTTTAAAGAAGAGAAAAAGCCATTTGCAAATATGCAATAAATTATATTCCAAATCTCAATCAAGAAAAAACGAGTAATATTAACATCATTGTGAGGCATTTTTCATGCATATACATATTATAGTGTTAGAGGAAAAAAATTCCTAAGATATCGAGCATGTTTTAATGCTGAGATAAAACAAAAATATAATTCATGCTATAAACATTATGCTTTTTTTGAGGGGAGGGGACACCAGGGATTGAACTCAGGTGCACTTTCCCACATCACCAGCCCTATTTTGTATTTTATTTAGAGACAGGATTTCACAGATGCTTAGCACCTAGCTTTTGGCTGAGGCTGGCTTTGAATTCAGGAGCGGTTGAGATTACAGGCGTTGAACCACCATGCTGGGCTAACATTATGCTTTTAATAAAAATTAATTTTACTCTGCCAGAAGAAAATAAAGTCAAATTGAAGCAGTAGGCAAAACTTCAGATAAAAATTCACAGTTATTCATAGTTATCCTTCCTCTTATATAAGCATAAACTCTGAGGTCAGACCCTGTCTTGGGAGTGACTTTTCTTTAAACCTGATATTTGGATGTTATTCTGTATCAATGACTTGAACACCCAGCGTATACTAATCGTATATACCAGAAATCATGCTTTTTCCTTCTAAAACATTGTCTATACTGTCACAGTACTTACAATCAACTTGGGGAATATGGTTCACATCTTTTATAACTTCTGACAACATGAACAGCTTTCCACCTTCCGTGGCCTATCTTCTCAGAGGAACAAGTGAAGTGCCATGTATTACTCTCTAACTAGTAGTCTAAAGTTTGAGGACAAAGATAGAGAATGCCAAAGTGCTCCCTTGGAGCTTATGTCTGCTGGGTGACTGTGAGGCTCAGTATTATGTGTCAACTTGGCAAAGCTATAGCCCCCCAATTACTCAACCAAATTCCAATTTAGGTGTTGCTGTGAAATATTTTGTAGGTGTGATTAAAGGCTATAACTAGTTGGCTTCAAATTAGGGAGACTAACCTATATAACCTGGGTAGACCTGATTCTTCTGGGTAGACCTGATTCAATCAGTAGAAAGACCTTTAGAATAGACCTAAGAAATTCTGGCTATGGAAACCAATGCCAGCTCATGTTCATACTCAAGGATTCAGCCTTTCTTTCTGGAGAGGGCCTGCCCTACAAATTAATGCCCCAGGGGTCTAGCCAGCCCCCACAGTCAATTAAGACAAATCTCCGCAATAATCCTCTTAACCTCTCTCTCCTACTGGTTCTGTTTTCTGGTTTAACTATGACTTACAGAAAAGTGTAATTCTCTTCCAATAACCTGTTTAATGAGCACCTAGCACAGGAAATATACTACTTCTGTAGTGTCGGCTAGTTCTTTAAACTCTACACAGCACTGCCTCTGTTAGGATCCTCTTCTACCAATTTCTCCTTACCTGGTCTTGGGACTGCCTACTTTATGGTCAGCCCTTCTTATCTGTGGGTTCCACATCCACAATTCAACCAGTTACAAACTGAAAATATTCAGAAAAATATTTGAGTCCTATACTGAACACAGACTTACTTTTTCATCGTTAGTCTTTGAACAACCGTTTATAACAACTATTTATATACTTCACTATGTATTATAAAATCTAAAGATCGCTTAAAGTATGCCAAAGAATGTGTGGAGATTTTATGCAAGTACTATGCTATTTTATATGATACAGAGGAATGAAATGCTCCTCTAATAAACTGAACTCATTATAAGGAAAGGAAGTATTTTCTTTATAACATCAACACAGTACCTAGAAATTCAGAAACCTTATTTACTGGAAAAAATTTCATCTTGGAAAAAAAGTTTTCCATAAAGCCATTATTGAGTAATTCTTCTCTGTTAAGTTATATCAACCTTCCTGGAACTTTTACCCTTAAATGACACTGATGTAAAAGAATCATACTACTACATAAATTTAACAAGCTCTTCCAAAAATGCTCTCCTAAGTATAAACCTAAAAGAATAGAAAATAGTGTGCAAGCACATAGTTATACACCAATGTTTATGAGCAGCATCATTTACAACTGCAAAAAAAGACTGAACATTCAGCAAATGAGTAGATAAAATATGGGGTACACATAACAATAGAATACTATTAAGCCTTGAAAAGGAAATTCTAATGGGTGAAACTTAAAAACAATGTAAGGGAAATAAGCCAGTCACAAAATGACAAACACTGTAATAACTCCATTTATAAAATATCTAAAATAGCCAAATTCACACAGATGGAAAGTTAATTAAAGTGCTGGGGGAGAGGTTACAGAAAGTTAATGCTTAATAAATACACTTTCTGTTGGAAGGAAAACGTTTTAGCAGTGATAGATGCACAAAAATGTAAATGTTACCAACTGTTCAGATCATGCACCAATTACGGGCTTACAGTAAAGTCCTACTCTGGACTAGGGCACAGGAGAGGTATAATGATATAAAACATCCGGGTGCCAGTTTTCACTAAACACTCCAAAAAGCTTTTCCACTAAACTCCAGGTCAGATATCACTAGGTTTTCGGTGGTGATACATTTCTAGTGTTATTAAATGGAAACGATTTTTGAGCATAACAAATATCGCTCAACATCATCACCTTACCATGCAACACCATTTATTCAAGGGAATCCCTCAAGGGCGCTACTGCATTTTAATGATCTAAACATCGGTTTTGTACCAGGCAGCCATAATGCTGATAGCAATAGTCTGTCAATTTTCAGCAACCTCAAACTTTCAATATCAATCATATAAACTACAAGATGCACAAATCCCCTTTTACCTTACAGTCAAAACCTCTGAGAGTCACCCTAAAGGCCCCATGTGGAAATGAGAAATTAGATGAAGGAAAATCAGCTGTTCCCTAGCAAAGGCTGAACCTTACGGGTTGGAGACAGAGGTTCCTTGACCCCACCCCCGCAGAGCTCACCAAGTATAGATCTGCAGCTCGCTGGAGGGTACGTTTCCGCGGGAGAATTCATCCATTCGGTGGTGGCGGCCGTTATTGGTGGTGAAGACTCGCAACAGCAGCGGGCATGTCTCGAGGAGAAAGGAAAAAGAAGGGCAAAAGTTAAAACAGCAGCAGTGAATCCGGAGCTAGGAGGCGTTGCGGCCTCTCGGCTGCCCCGGGAGCAAAAACACCGCCTTCTTCCGCACACAGGCCGCATCTCTATGCCTAGCCGGGCCCACCTCACTTCTTCCCTGACCCCACAGAACTGGGGTCCTCACCTTCTCGCGGTCAATTGGCTTCTCTGGCTCTTTCTTAATTTCCTCCTGGGTTACGCGCGATTCCACCGCCATCTTCCTTCTTCGGCCCGCGAGACGCTCGCCCTGACCTCCGACCCCCGCAGCGAGCATGAGCACGAAGTCTCTCGCGAGGAGAAGCGCGAGGCTTTATAGAGCGCCAGGAATGGGGCGGGGCGTCTCCAGACGCAGGCGCACTTCATTGTGCGGCTCGGGAACCTGAGACGGGCGCGTCTGCGCATTGAGCCTAGGGAAAGGAGAGCGCGGTCTGGGACAAGGCGGAGCCTCTGAGGGAAGTGCTTCTGATGTGTCTCTGGGGTTAGTTGGCGAGCTGTTTTTTACTTTGAACGCTCACCAATGGACTAAGGTGAAAGTGGTGTTTTCATGCACAATGATGAATACCTTAACGAACCCAAAACACTTAAGAACATTACAAGCATTAACAGCAACAGCTTAGCAAAAAGTCGATCTTTCTGAAATGAATGACAGATTCAAACGGACCTCTGGGCTATGAACAGAGGCGCTGCAGAGAGTGGGGAGAATATGATTTTCAGTAAGTGGTGATGAAAGTCTGTACTGGGAAAGAAAATGAACTGGACTCTCCCCATGTAGCACACACGAAATTCAAGCGAGTACTGGAAAAAAAAAAATATATATATATATATATATTTTTTTTTAATGACAGCGGAATGCATTGCGATTCTTATTATACATATAAAGCACAATTTTTCATATATCTGGCTGTATACACATTATATTCAAACCAATTCGTGTCTTCATACCTGTACTTTGGATAATGATCATCACATTCCACCATCATTAATTACCCCATGCCCACTCCCATCCCCTCCAAACCCTCTGCCCTATCTAGAGTTTGTCTATTCCTCCCATGCTCTCTCTCCCTATCCCACTATGAATCATCCTCCTTATATCAAAGAAAACATTCTGCATGTGGTTTTTTTTTGGATTGGGTAACTTCACTTAGTATTATCTTCTCTAACTCCATCCATTTACCTGCAAATGTCATGATTTTATTCTCTTTTATTGCTGAATAATATTCCAATGTGAATATATGCCATATTTTTGTAGCCATTCATCTATTGAAGGGCATGTAGTTTAGTTCCACTGTTTAGCTATTGTGAATTGTGCCGCTATTAACACTGATGTGGCTGTGTCCCTGTAGTATGCTGTTTTTAAGTCCTTTGGGTATAGTCCAAGGAGAGGGATAGCTGGGTCAAATGGTGGTTTCATTCCCATATTTCCAAGATTTCCTAACCTGTGGGTAGGAATATATGTTCCAAAACTCATTAATCAGAGGGCTGGGGTTGTAGCTCAGTGGTAAAGGTCTTGTCTTGCACATGTGAAGCATTAGGTTCTATCCTCAGCACCATATAAAAATAAATAAAGCTCCATCAACAACTAAAAAAATCAAAATAAAAAAACTGGAAAAGAAAAATCAAACCTTCAAAATACATCATAAGAGAGAAAATCATGAGCCACAGAGCAGGAGAAGATGTTTGTGAGCCATGCCATGGAAAAAAGTTACTATCCAGAATAGGTAAGAACTAAAGAAAAAGACAACCCAGTCCAAAAATCGGTCATATAACTGAACTGGTGCATTAAAAATGAAGTCCCCAAGACCAATAAACATATAAAATGTTCAGGGTCATTATTAATCAGGAGTTCACATTAAAGCCATAGAGATTAATTGGCTTAAAACTATTCCCAAAAAATTGGCAAAAAATTAGAAACTCTGACAGTAGCAACTGTTGATAGATGAAACAATTCACACATACTGCTGGTCAGAATGTAAACTGGTATACCCACTTTGGGAAGTAGGTTGGGATTATTTAGTACAGTTGAAGTATGCATACTTTTAACAATTCTCCTTTGTGTGTGTATACACACACACGTGTGTGTGTGTGTGTGTGTGTGTGTGTGTGTAATCTTGCTCAAATGTATCCAGAGACATTACAAGAATGTGCTTAGCAGTATAGTTCTCAAGAACAAAATCTAGAAACAGGCCACATGTCTATTAGCAGTGCAATAACTCAACTGTGACATACTATACCAAACAAACTGGGTGTGGTGGTGCACACCTGTAATTCTAGCAACTCTGGAGGCTGAGGCAGGAGAATCCTCAGCAATTTAGCAAGGTCCTCAGCAATTTAGGGAGACCCTGTCTCAAAATAAAAAATGAAAGCCAGGCAGTGATGCACACTGTAATCGCAGCAGCTTGGGAGGCCGAGGCAGGATGATTGCGAGTTCAAAGCCAGCCTCAGCAAGTTAGCAAGGCCCTAAGCAACTGAGCAAGACCCTGTCTCTAAATAAAATACAAAAAAAAAAAAAAAAGGTCTGGGGATGTGGCTCAGTGGTTGTTATGGTTTGAACATGAGTTGTCCCCCCAAAGCTCATGTGTGAGACAATGCAAGAAGGCTGAGAGGTGAAATGATTGGTTATGAGTGAATTAAATTAAACAGTGAGTTAATCCTCTAATAGGGATTAACTGAGTGGTGACTGAAGGCAGGTAGGGTATGGCTGGAGGAGGTTAGTCATTGGGGGGAATGCCTTTGTGGTATGTATTTTGTCTCTAGTGAGGGGAGTCTTTCTCTCTGCTTCCTAGCCATGATCTGAGCCACTTTCCTCTGCCACACTCTTCTGCCACGACATTCTGCCTCACCTCCAGTCCTGAAGAATGGAGCTGGCAGTCTATGGACTGAGACCTCTAAAACCATGAGCCCTCAAATAAACTTTTCTCCTAAAATTGTTCTTGTCAAGTCACAGCAGTGAAAAAGCTGACTAAAACAGTGGGAAAGCATCCCTAGGCTCAATACCAAGTACCAAAAAACAAAAACCTACTAAATGAGCCTGGTGCCGGTCTGAAATCCCAGCAACTGACCAGAAAAGCTAAGGTAGAGGGGTTGCAAGTTCAAGATCAATTTCTGCAACATAGTAAGAACTTGTCTCAAAATAAAAAATGAAAAGCACTGGGGATGTGGCCCAGTGGTAAAGCACCCCTAAGTTCAATCTTTAGTAAAAAGGTGGGGGGGGGAATCACAAAACTACAAAACAATAATGAAATACTATAAAGGAACAATAATTTACAAATTATTGGTGCATGAAACAACATGAATCAGAAACATAATGGTGTGTATGAGTAACCAAAAACAAACAAATATATTGTGAGACAGGCGTGTGTGTGTGTGTGTGTGTGTGTGTGTGTGTGTATGTGTAATATTAAACACAAGTGATATGAAAAAATGCCCAACCTCACAAACCTCAAACCACAGGATTACATGCCTGTAATCCCAGCAATTTGGAAGGCTGAGGCAGGAGGATCTCAAGTTCAATGCCAATCTCAGCAATTTAGCAAGGCCCTAAGCAACTTAGTGAAACTTTTTCTCTAATCAAATATAAGAAAGGGCTGGAGTTGCGACTAGGTGGTTAAGCACCCCTGGGTTCAATCCCTGGTAAGAAGGAGAAGGAGAAGGAGAAGGAACTGAATATACTGTGTGAATCCATTTTTATAATATTCAAAAACAGGCAATACTAAAATAAATTGTTCAGGAAGATTCTCATATGATGAAACTCTAAAAAAGTATTGAAATAATTATAATTACCACAAAAGTCAGAATGATGACTCAGAAGATAGGATTCAATTCATGCAAACCTTAAAAATAGTAAAATAGTATTATGATAAGGAAGAGGCAAGTGGAGAGCTTTGGCAACATTATATTGTTTTTTAAATTAAGTGGTGGTTACATAGTTGTGTGAATTAAAACTACTCTTAAAGAGCAGATTTTTGTGTTTACCTTACTGTCACAATGCTATACTTTGCTATTTTCTAAAAAGATAGCCCCCCTGAAGAAAAAGTAATGCTTATGAATTGAGAAGAGACGATCTAGTAGAAAAATTGACAAAAGACATGGACAGGCATTTGCAGAAGATTAAACACAAGTGATTTGAAAAAATGCCCAACCTCACAAACCTCAAACCACAATGAGACAACATTTTTTTCTAGATTGGCCCAAACGAGGATGTTTGACAAGCAAGGACACGAAGAAAAGGGAATTTCTCTCCTGTACCTTACAAAAATTGTTGCTTATAAGCACAAGGTGACGTTTTGGATAATGTTCTAACATCTCTTCATGACAACTAGAAACTATCAAGGACTATCATACAAGGACTGTCTTAAAGATTTGAAAGTAAATGAATGAGCCAGGTGAGGTGGAACATGACTGTAATTCCAGCCACTCTGGAGGCTGAGTCAGGAGGATCACTATTTCAAAGCCAGCCTCAGCAATTTAGGTAGGCCCTAAGCAACTCAGCAAGACCCTGTGTCTAAATAAAATACAAAAATGGGCTTGCGACGTGGCTCAGTCGTTAAATAAAAGGAGAAAATCCTAGAGGAATACATACAATAGGATTCAATTCATGCAAACCTTAAAAATTGTAAAACTTAGGGCTCGGGTTGTAGCTCAGTGGTAGAGAGCTTGTCTCTCACACATGAGGCCATGGGTACAATCCTCAGCACCACATAAAAAATAAATAAATGAAAATAAAGATTTAAAAAATGACTTAGAAAAAAAAGAACTTAGACAAACATGGTGACATGATTGTAATCCCAGAGACTCTGGAGGCTGAGGCAGGAAGATTGTGAGTTTTAGGTCAGCATAGGCAATTTTGGGAGACCCTGTCTCAAAATACATAATAAATAAAAAGGGCTGGGGGTGTAGCTCAGGGGCAAAGAGCTGTTGGGTTCAATACCACAGTGAATCCCTGGTACCACACACACATATACACAAAAGAGAACTCCCCAAAATATTGTTTAGGGGGGAAAAGCCACAAGTGATAAAACTATAAAGGGAAATAAGAGAAAGATAAAACTCAGGTTAGTGTTATCTTGAAGTATAAGCTCAGATAATTCAATGTAATGAAGGGCATTTTAGGCTTCTAAGACACTAGAAATACATATCCCTCAGGAGGGATATGGTTTTTCATTCTTTAAATTGTAACTATACATTTTAGACATTATTGGATGTTCAATTTAGATCACCTTCAAACATTTTTGTTTTTTAAATTGTGCTTAGGATGCGACCTGACGTGTTCAACTT